AGCTGTCTATGTTTAGTTGCTTTTTGCTTTTTGAGGGGGGCTCGTGAATCGTCTGCAACCTGCAGACAATGAGGACCCGCAGAACGAGCGTGAAGGACAATGATGTGTGCTCGCCGGCAACACCCTGAAATCTCAAAGAGCCTACAAGCACTGAAATGGAAACGCTGCCGTAAACCCTATAAACCCTAAGCACCCCTAAACCCTATAAACCCCAGAAACCCCATAAGCCCTATAAGGCCTGTACACCCGAAAAACCCTAGAAAGCCCATACCCTAATCCCCATAAGCCGTATAAGCCGTGTAAGTCCGATGAACCCGATAAACCCCAAACCCCAAAAACTCTACACCCTATAAGCCCTATAAATATAGAGTAGTACACTCGAAGCCGTAAACCCTAAAAAAACATAAACCCTATAAGCCGCTGAAACCCTGTAACCCTAAACCCTAAACCCTAAACCCTAAACCCTAAACCCTAAACCCCTGCAGCCGTAAGCCCGAAGGCTCTAAAGACCCACAAAGCCTATCGGGCTGGGCCGGGCTTAGGGCTCCTGGATGCAAAGGCGATGGGTTTAGGGTTTAGGGTTTAGGGGTTAGGGTTTGGGGGTTTAGGGTTTAGGGTTTAGGGGTTAGGGTTTGGGGGTGTAGGGTTTATAGGGTTTACGGCACATTCTGTTCTTCTTTTTATGAGGTCTTTGAGTCTACCCAATACTAAAAAGCGCAGAGCCTGCGCTGCTCGATGCAGAAACCTTCACAGAATGTTGAAGCAGCTCCTTGGGCGGATTAGGGTTTAGGGTTTAGGGTTTAGGGTTTAGGGTTTACTGAGGTGCAAGTTTTCCTTCAGGTCTCGTGGGAGTTTCAGACACGGACTTGTTGGCCCTGAGTCGGACTCAGGTGTGGGATGAACTAAGCACGATTTGGACAGCATCCTACGAAAGTCACCACGGGTTCTTCAAGGTGTAGTCAGGATCTATGGTTCGCAACGCCTACCCAATCACCTCACTGGTCCCAACAACATATGATGGTGTGGTCGTGTTCAACTCCGGCGGTTGGTGTTGCAAGTGTGGCAAGCTTCTCTTTTGGCACGTCATGTGTATGGTTCGTAGCAACTTTCCGTGTACGACACACAAAAAGCTAGCACGTATTGCGGGAGTTGAGGCGGTTTGGGGCATGATAAAACTAGCTATCCCAGTCCATGTCATGAGAGTGATAACCTGTTTCGGTCGTCCCACACAATTGAAAACTTGGATCCTTTGAGGGGTCTGGGTAACTCAAGACATATTTTGCACCCTGCGCGCACACAACGGCATTTAAACAACCCTGCACCCCAGGAAACTGGGGATTGCTTACCCAGAGGGTATACACTACCAGTATGGAATTAGGTCCCAAAAGACCATCCCTATTATGGTTTTGGGAACCTAATTCCATAATAGTAGTACATATGGACCCTCTTGCTTATGATTTGGTGAGGGTCCAGCGTCGATAGTGCGAGTCTACATAGTACATTTTACGTTACCCTAAGGGTCCATGTACCTAAATAGTATATACATTAGCCCTAAAGTACATATATAGGGACTACATAAAAGCCAAAGTATATACTAGTTGGGTACATGGACCCTTAGGGTTAACCTCCACTGCGAGAAACTGCTACGCGTTGGCGCAAACAGCTGAGCACGCGGCCAAGGCCGCATCGGACCCGGTATCCTCAAGCCCAGACGCCTCACAGGATTTAACGTAGTGGCCTTTATAATTACCTATACTATTTTGGGGGGTTCCTATAATTGTAACTATAGTAATTATACTATATCCCAAAACCCTGTTCGAATTATTAATGCCCCTACATTAACAATGCAAACCCCGGGTTCAGGCTTGTTGTCTCAAAGGTACATGTGCTCATCTAGTACATACTTTGGCCGATAAAAGTCATCCCTATGTACAGTAAGCATGCTGGGGCCCAGGTTATTGCGCGCTTCTACTGTTGTAATACCTGTACCTACCCATAGGCCCCATAGTAGTTCCTGTTTGGGATTACCCTATAGGATTCTAAATATGAACCCCAAAAAAGAAAAACTATGGGGCCTATGGGTATAGGGATTCCTGGATCCTTTCAGGTATCTGCCTGTCTACGACTCGGAGGGCAAGTTTCAAGACTGCCACAGCCCCAGCTTAGGGTTTGGGGTTTAGGTTTAGGCTTGTAGGGCTTATTAAGGTTTACAGAGGTTTTAGGCTTGCTTGGGTTTGGGAACAGACCTAATGCAAGCGTTTAGGCTTTTCCAGGTAAAGATCCTTCAATGAAACCTCAGGGTGCCCAATGCCTTCAACGAAGGGTGCCTTGATTCAGCACCACTATGGTCCGCTTATAGTATAATCAAATCTTCGGCTTTGGGTTTCTTCAAAACCTAAACCTTGAAAACCTGAGCCTGCGCGGACCCAGAAGGCCAACATCTGCTGTCAAGCACCAATGCGTATGCTTATAGTTCTCCAAAAGCTTCCGCTGACAGCTCTCATGATTTCCAAACTCCAATTATCCGTGTTCCGGCAGCGCTCCTTGCAGTTGAATACGGCATAGAAGCACTTAAGCTGTATAATTTCTAGCCCTTATTAAAACTCCTTCTGCTTGAATATGGTTTAAAGTATTTGATGTGAATCAGGCGACAACCCGGAACACCGCTGAACTACAGGCTTCAGGGAAATCATTGATATTCTAGTTATTGTAGTTATTATGATTACTTGTGCTATTCTTATTGTCATCCTTACTATGATTCGCAGTTACGTGTGTTTTTCTTATTATTAGTATGGTTTATCGTTGGTATTGTTATTTTTGATAATGCCTTTACAAAATGTTTCATATATCTTCTTTGTATTGCTGTTGTCGTCACCGTCATTGCTCTGAGTTCTAGTATTCGATTCCGGCGTTGAGGGTGTTTGGACCTTCATTCAGGTGCCTGAAGGGTCTGAAGTACCTATATGGGGTTTAGGGTTTAGGGTTTAGGGTACTCACCCAAACCATCATGGAACTCGACTTGAGCAGGTTTACAACTTCGAATCAAGGTCTGGCGCTCTGACGGTCTGAAATACCATCCTTAACTGAGGGCTATAAAGCCGAACACCCAGAACGCCAGATCGTAAAACCCAATGCACTAGAGCTTAGGGTTCGAATCTCTACACCTAAGGGTCCAAGTACCCATTATTCGAGGACTTTGGGGCCTTTTTGGGTACCTAAAACCATAAATAAGGACTACTTGGACCCTTAGGGTATGGGCCCCGGCCTCCTTCATACATGCTTCATCGCATGCCCCGACGAAGCTTGGCAGCACCGCAGCGAAGGCCCAGAACCTCATAACCATGGCAGTCAGCTCTTCGCGGGGCCGCGATAGCCACCTTGCTCTACCCTCTGCGCTGACTCCACAAACTCGAAATCAACATGGCAAGTGCATGGGTCTGGAGAGATGGCCATGCTTCCACAACAAGGTGCACATTCAAAGTTTGAGCATATACCATTGTAATACTAGCATAAAGCGATTACAAAGCTCTTCCGCCATGCAGAGTGTACGAAGATAGGCCTGGCTAGGGATTGAGCCAAGAGCCTGCGGCAATTCACATGCGGTGTTGACGCAAGCTACAAAAATAAGAACTTTATATGCCCTAACTCCGAAGCGAAGGTCATAATCACTCAGTTAAAATAAAATGCTTAGAGGTTTAGGGTTTAGGGTACTCAGTTAAAATAAAGGGCTTAGAAGTTAAGCTCTGCATCCTGAACCTGCAGCCTTCAATGGATTCCGAGGCCCTGAAAACTGAGCCAAAGGACATGATGAGCCATGTTGCTTCGTGGATATGGTAATGCCATGTACGCTCTTAACTGTATGGCCCAGGGTCTGGAGTGATCCGTAGTAGCCTGCAAAAAAAAACCTTAGCCCTAAACCCTAAACCCTACCCTAAGGGTCCAAGTACCCATTACTTGAGGACTTTGGGGCCTTTTGGGGTACCTAAAACCATAAATAGGGACTACTTGGACCCTTAGGGCTATGAACCCTAAACCCTAAACCCTAAACCCTTACCCCTAAACCCTAAGCCCTATGAAGCACCAAACCCTTAATTGAACTTGCCCCATTTCTCCGCGCCGAGTCTTCGCTTTCAGCTTTCCTCCTGCGCTTGGTGTGCCAGAAAGGCGCCATGTCCTCCGAAACCTGCACAAGACCCTAGCCCCCCAGGTACCTACTA